AGGCACTGAGCCAACCAGGTCCAAGAAAGGACCCTGAGAAGCCAAGCCCCAAGGCGATGGTGGACGGGGAGAGCACAGGGCCAGTAAGCACACAGAGCAGGCTGGGAGTGCTGGCGCCTGGCCACCACCGCGTGCTCACCATGGAGGTGGAAAGGTCCACATATCTGGCCACATGGAAAGGCAATGGCTCAGTGGCCATTAACAGTGCCCTGCCCTTGTCAGACTTCTTTGTCTTCTGAAAAAAAAAATTAAGTCAGCCGAGGCAGGAAAGGTCCACGACCCACAAAGGCCAGGGCAGCACAGCAGGTGCAGCCAAAGGCCAGCCCACACAGGACCACACGCCTCCCGCCTCACTGGTCTCCTCACTCCCTGGCTCCCATACCCACAGGGCTGCCCGTGCCTCCTGTGAGCCCACCACTCACTGTGACCCCATCACTCGCTGGGCCTTGCAGGACCAAACCAGCCACGGTGCTGTGCCCTGCACAGGCCTCACAGAGCCAAGAGGGCAGCAGGCAGGATTTAGGTGTGAGAGAGACCACATGTGAGAACCACGGGCTATTAAACCAGGAGGGGCCTCAGAAACTCCCTACACCAGGGCTTCTGACGCTGCTGCTTCAAAGTGCAAGCTCCCTTTTCTTCATCTATCTGCTTCTCTATTTCTGAGAGACAGACAAGACAGAGAGATCCTCATCAGACAGTTCACTCCCCAGATGCCCTCAATGGCCAAGGGCTAGGCCAGACCAAAACTAAGAGCTGAGAACTCAATGCGGGTCCCACATGAAACTCAATTATTGGCATGACCTGCCACCTCCCAGAGTCTGCAATGAGCACTCATCCGGAGACGGAGCCAGGGATCCAAGCCAGGGGCTCTGATACGGGACACTAGCATCTTAACCACCAGGTCAACTCCCACCCCACGAACCATCCTGTCTGATACACAACAGTGACTACTCAGACAGCTGCCCAGGCAGAGGCGTGGTGACAGGAAGGTGAGGGGTAGAGCTGATAGCTCCCTACTCCCCAAAGCACACGTGTCCCTACAGTCAACTGGAGTGTCAATGGTCTCGTTGTCCAAATGTTCAGTTTTACAAGTGAAGAAATTAAAGCTCAAGGAATGTGAGTGCTTTGACCAAAATCTCAAACTGTTACAAGTGTATGGGATAGCCGGCGCCACGGCTCAATAGGCTAATCCTCGGCTGGCGCCGTGGCTCACTAGGCTAATCCTCCGCCTAGCGGCGCCGGCACACCGGGTTCTAGTCCCGGTCGGGGCGCCGGATTCTGTCCCGGTTGCCCCTCTTCCAGGCCAGCTCTCTGCTGTAGCCCAGGAAGGCAGTGGAGGATGGCCCAAGTGCTTGGGCCCTGCAACCCATGGGAGACCAGGATAAGCACCTGGCTCCTGCCTTCAGATCAGCGCGCTGCGCCGGCCGCAGCGCACCAGCCGTGGTGGCCATTGGAGGGTGAACCAACGGCAAAAGGAAGACCTTTCTCTCTGTCTCTCTCTCTCACTGTCCACTCTGCCTATCCAAAAAAAAAAAAAAAAAAAAAAAAAGAAGTGTATGGGATGAAGTTATCAGAATTGGAATTGGATTTCTGTGTGCACACTGCCCTTTTTTTAAAAGGAGAGAGAAAGAGATGTGTGTCTTCCATCTGGTTGTTTACTCTGCAACCGCCCACAATAGGAAGGGCTGGGCCGGGCAGAAGCCAGGAGCCCATCACTCAAACTGGGTCTCTCACATGGGTGGTAGGGACCCAACTGGTTGAGCTGTCACCTGGTGCACTTGAGCAGAGCATGGATCAGAAGAGGAGCAGGATGCCAAGCCCAGACACTGCTATGGAATGCAGGAAGTGCCACAAGCAGCCACTTGACTGCTGAGCCCAACACCTGCCCCCTCCATCCTAGAAATGCAGTTTCAACAACAGAGCTGCAGAAGCAGGAAGTGTGCAGTAGTTGTCTTCTGTCTAACTCGAGTTCAACAGACAGGTCTGAAAAAGGAAGATAGGTCACTGTGTGGCTGCCGTGGGCGTGGCATGATTTAGGGCACATGTCACAAGCATCTATCTTTGACTTACAAATGTGTCTATTTACCATTTTTTCCAAAACTGGTGAAACAGCTGTACACTCTAATGAACTATTTTTCCATTCAAAATCCATCACTTCCCATTTGGAGAGGAAAGTGAGCGTATCTAGGGATAACATCAGCTGTGGAGCTGTGGACCTTGCTGGGATGCCACAGGCTGAGCCTACAGGATGAAGACCATGCCCTGCGTTCTCAGGAGCTCACCTCCGCCTGCAACTGAAACGAGTGATGCGCGATAGGAAATAACGCAGGTTACCTGGGAATGCAGACAGCGCTTTAACCAGACCCAAGATGCTTCAAAATGCATACACACACACTCAGAGAAACATAAATGCACTCACATATGAACATTTACCAAGGAGCCAAAGTTCTCGTTCTCTCTCTCTCTCTCTCTCTCTCTCTCTATATATATATATATATATATATATTATTTGACAGGCAGAGTTAGACAGTGAGAGAGAGACAGAGAGAAAGGTCTTCCTTCCGTTGGTTCACTCCCCAAATGGCTGCTATGCCGGCGTGCTGCGCTGATCCGAAGCCAGGAGCCAGGTGCTTCCTCCTTGGTCTCCCATGCAAGTGCAGGGCCCAAGCACCTGGGCATCCTCCACTGCCCTCCCGGGCCACAGCAGAGAGCTGGACTGGAAGAGAAGCAACCGGGAAGAGAAGCAACCTTTTTTTTTTTTTTTTTTTAATTTAAGACACCTCCAGGACAGACAGAAGCCAGATCTCTAGGAATGGTGGTCAGGACGGTGAGGAAAGAGGGTCACAGCGGGAGAGGACTTGGCACAGCCGAGCACTCCCACGACGCAGGCTCTCGGAGCCCAGGCTGGGCATCACACAGGCACTGTGATCTGGCGAGAAGCGGCTGCGTGGGCCTGGGAGCACCAGGTTTAGGCAGAGAAGCAGGGGAGGGGGCAGAAGCACAGTCACGCCCGCCCCTAGTTCTGCTCCGCAAATCATGTCACCACACAAAGCCCGTCGTCCCTGGCATGCGGGCAGAAATCCCATCACTCTGCTTCAAACCTCCCGAGTGCACTATTTTTCATCTAAAGCTCTCTCGCTCACCAGCCTGCCCTAGCTATGTGTAACAGAAGTGGCTTTGCTAAGTGTTAAATCACAAACCATGTATAATCGACGTAAATTATTTCTACTCTCTGAGGCAGGAGTTTGGCTGCACCCCTGCATCCCAATGGGAGTGCCCAGATTGAGGCCTGACTCTACACCCGCACCCCAATGGGAGTGCCCAGATCGAGGCCTGACTCCACCCCTGCACCCCAATGGGAGTGCCCAGATCAAGGCCTGACTCCACCCCTGCATCCCAACGGGAGTGCCCAGATCGAGGCCTGACTCCACCCCTGCATCCCAATGGGAGCACCTGGACTGAATCCTGGCTCTATTTCTGATTCCAGCTTCCTGCTACTGCACTCAGGGAGGTAACAGGTGATAACTCAAGTACCTGGGTCCCTGTACCATGTAGGAGACCTGGGTGGAGCTCTGGCCTCCTGGATTTGGCCTGGCCCAACCCTGGCTGTTGCAGTCATTTGGAGAGTGACCCAGCCGATGGAAGGTCTCTGAATGTCTGTATCTCTCAGATTCCTGCTCTCTCAAAGGAAATAAAAATGAAGAAATTTTTTAAAGTACTAATTCTGCTTTTTGCTTTTGTCTTTGGGCTAGCTATAGTATCGCCAACTTATACTCATGTTTGAAAATAAAACGCAATACTGTAAACTACTAGTTGTAAACATCAAGTAATTGATCATTTTTATAGACTTTGGGGACTTCTAAATCTAAAGTCTTCTCTAAATAAGTACATCAGTAGAGTTCTTCCAGAATTTTTAAATAGAATGGTTATTTCTGTACCACAAATGTTGAATATAAACATAACCCTCTGAAGCACACACTTGCACACATTTATAAATGTTGCTTTTTTCCCTCAACACACCATGGGAAACATACTGCTCATCCATATTAACCTCTGACTTGGAATAATCTTGGCTGAAAATACTTGGCAAATCAGAAATACATGAACACATACGGAAATATATATTGCTACTTCCATGCAGGGAAGGCAACACTAAACCCTAAGCATAAAATGATAATCTTTTTAAGATCATGGATTTTTTAAAGCTCATTTATTTTTATTATTTACTTGGAAAGCAGAATGAGAAATCTTCTATCCACTAGTTCACTCCGCAAATGGCAGCAACAGAGCTAGGCCAGGCCAAGGCCAGGAATCTCATCAAGGTCTCCCGCACGAGGGCCAGGAACGTGAGCCATCACTGCTGCTTTACAGAATGAACACACGCAGGAAGCTGCATCAGAAGCAGAGGCAGAGCGCTCTGAAAAATGGGATGCAGGTGCCACAACACCCGCCCCACAGGCCATCACACACACTCGGGGAGACTCCACGGAACAGACACTACACAGCAAACACGTCGGCCTCATAACACTGTACCTCGTAGACTATAAAGGGCTACACCTAAGTCTTCTGAATGTAGCTCCAATGTATCCATGTGCACCGAATTAAAACTGAGAGGACTAAAGACATCAACTGCTTTAGAACAACAAAATAATTCCATGGGAACAGACATTGTACTGAAAACAACCACACTTCCTGAAGCAGTTAGGGAGAAGGAAGGCACAGCTGCACGCCTCTCCCAGTCACAGATGCTCTTCTGCTATCTGCACCCAGCCTAAGGACCCACGGCCCCCAGAGAACCTCACTTACACTTGAGAGAGAACAAAAGGGCAAACCACGTCTTCTCATCACTACGCAAACTGCTAAGACATCACCCATCCCGCTGCGGGGTGGGGAGGGAGCGGGCTCTTAGGAAGCCCCCAGGGTTCCGTGGCGCACACCTGAAGAATGGCTACTCCCTGACCGCAGTCTCAGTGTTCTTCTCCTGACCCTCAAAGACTTACAGGTCTCCATGCCTTCATCATCGTCGTCGGCCACGGGCTTGTCATAGGATTTGTCGATGGCCGCCCGGAAGCTCTCGTTGCAGCCCCTTCCTCGGATGATGCGCGGCCGGGGGCGGTGGAAAGGAATGTCCCCATTGAGGGTCGCCTCGGCCACGGCCGTCTGCAGGCTCTCCAGGGAGCTGGACTTCTTCAGGCCCAGGGAGGGCCCCACGTCTCTGCTGGGGGAGCCTTGAAGGTCAATAGGAAAGAGCGTCAGTGTATGCCAGGTTTCGTGAAGCCCGCACATCCAGGCGTCTATATACGGGGAGAACGCTGGGGACATCAACAATTCACTCAGGGACAAATTCTGGACATGGACGGTAAAGAGCTAATGGCTATACTGAGTCACAGCAGCCGAGTACCCTGTATCCAAAGTGCTTGGGACCAGAAGCAGGTCGGGCCTCTGCGTTTTTTAAAATTTTGCAATGATTACTCTACAGGCTGAGCATCCCTAACCCCAAAAATCCAAACCATAAAAGGCTTCAAAATTGGAAACTTTAGAACGTGCTGGCACTGGAAACACTTCAGATTAGGAGCACTGTGGCATTCAGAGGTTCACATCAGAGAAGTCTGACCTGAAGTTATTTAATTTTTCCCACAGATTTTATCTGTCTTCTCTGTTTGTACTACTAGGAAGCACTCTCGGTCATTAGTTTCTACTTCTGTCCTAACAGAATTTTGCTCCAAATCTTATGAATAACCTCAAAGAATCAGAAAAAGACAGAAAGTCATCTGTGAAAAAAAAAAAAAAATGGTGAGAAAGACCAGACAGACATGCACTCGAGAGCTGAGCTTGTTCACTTCATGGAGAGCATTCTGGGCAGCTGAGGACGGTCTGCACCAGCAGCAGAGGTGAGGCCCTCCCTGAGGATGCAGCGGATCCGCACCCCTGCCTGCCTAAGTGAGGGAGCACGGGTTGGGGTCCTGTCACCAAGACAATCAGGGCATCCGGCCCCAGGCACAAACCTAAACTCTCTCACACACAAGGAGAGGAGACCAAAGAACAGATCTGAGTTCTTACAGCTCCAGGCATGGGAAGAAGGCCTGTTTGCAGAACAGGTGACAGACAGAAGGAAGAAGACTTAGCAACTGCCAAGGAATGCAAGGGGATTCAGGAAATTAAAAACCAGGCTCTCATTCTTGCCGACCTGGGGCAGAAAGGCCTGAGATAATAATACCAACAGAACCAAGCTTTGAAGGCAATCAAAGCTGATTTCTTTAACCCAGTGCGACAGCCTCATCCATCAGCGCCCAAATTGGCACTCGGGGAGGCTAATTTGGCCTCTCGGTGACTGGAACACCAGCTCTGCACCAGCACCTGGGCAACTCCGGTTCTAACGGTGGGTCTTCCCTTATGCTGTTAAAAAGACAGATGAAAACACGGACTAGATAGTTCATCTCTACATGGGGTCATCAGCCCATATGTTGATCAATAATTAAGGAGTAGCCTTGTCATGTTATTAGCTACAAGACAAATCGTTGTGACATGGGCTTTCCATAGCTCAGAGTATAAAACAGAAGGAAAATTAAATCATGAGCGTCAAAACAAGACTTATCTTCTTGGGATTCATTTACATAACATCTTTCGTCTAATTTTCACAATGGGGTAGCAGCTTTAATAAGCATAGATATGATAAAAAGGTATAATACAGAGAGGGTGGTGGTTTAGCACAGCCAGTAAGAAACTGGGTAAGGCTCTCATGTCCCAACTGCAGTGCCCGGGTTTGAGTCCTGCCTCCACTGCCAACTCCAGCTTCCTGCCAATGCAGACCTGGGGAAGCAGCAGGATTGTTTCCATGAGCTCTGGATTGAGTCTGCAAATATTTGGGGAATGAACCATCAGATGGCAGATCACCCGACACACATCCCACCACTCCCGGTCAAATAAATGAGTTAAAATTTTAGAAGAAATAAAGTAACAGGGGCAGATAAATGATTCTAGTGAAGAAATGGCACTTCATGAATTATTATACTGGGAAGACAAAGATGATGTAGTTTTCTTCATATAAGGGTTTGTACATATTTCATTTTTTGGATAAAACTACACATGAAATACTACTTTCAAGGAAATAAATCGAATTTTTTCTCTTGATAGCACTGTAACACTTGAAAAGCTCATTTTCAAAATTCTTCATAGAAGTTAAGAAAATAGATTTTGTTGCAAAGAACTAAATAAAAAAATCAGGAATCAAACACAACGGGAAAATATCCTCCCTAGGCAGGGATTTTCACCCCATACTTCCTAGATTTAGCACTGAGATCTCATCCTGGATAAGTTACGCTCTGAATTTTCAAAGTTTACCAGCTGCATCTGAGTTCCATAAACATGCATGAGGCAGATAGTTAGAGCTTCTTTGCATCCATGAAGGACACAAGTGTACCTGAGTACATGTGTGCATGTTTGTACATGTGTGTGTGTCGATAAGCGTGTTCAGTGTACATGTATGTGTCTTATCTCCAGTAAAGATTTCCCAATCACAATAAAGATTATTATAAAAGTTGTTAAGCTCTTCTGTATGGAGTGAGCTGAGATTTATGAGCATGTTAATAATTAATTTCAGAAGTGCTCCTCAGCATACACACAGGCAAATCTGATCAGAAAAGCAGGGATGAAGCCGTACTCAACGAGCAGTAAAAGCTGTGACATGAAATACAGAGCTGACCTCTCCTGTCTTTCCCCTAAATCCATGACATCACCATAAAACATCTGGGCAAAATGCCGATCGCTGCTGGTGGTGGGTGCTGGGCTTACGAGAAGTCCATCAACCACTCTCCATACAATTACATCAAGATCTTCATGACAAGTTGCACAAACGGTTGGCATCTGTCACTTATGGATCTACAAGGATCTGCAGCCTGCGGGCCCTGTCTGCAGACTGTGCTGGAACACAGCCACGCCCATTCATTCCCGTATTTCACAATGCTGATTCCACGCTACAGCACTGGAGGCAGGGAGCTGCAACAGAGACCAGCAGCCCACGAGACCTAAGGCCCTTCACAGACACAAAATGCAGACGTGCGATCCACAACGCGAGTGTCACACAAGGAAGTGCGTATCTGTCCGCAAAACTCACTAAGGTTAGTTTATTTACGTTCATTTGATTTGAAAGGCAGAGAGAGAGAGAGAGAGAGAGAGAGAGAGATATCTCCCATCTGCTGGTTCACTTCCCAAATGTCTGCTACAGCAAGGGCTGGTTCAGACCAAAGCCAGGAGCTGAGAACTTAATTCAGGTCTTCCATGTGGGTGGCAGGAATCCAAGTATTTGAGCCAAGTATTTGACAGATGAGAGGGAGACAGGAGGGAGGAAGACAGGAAGGCAGCCAGGATGGGCAGGCGAGCGGGCAGAGAGAAGGGAAATGGACAATGTCTTCCACCAGGGGCTCGGGAGATGGACTCCACTCTAGCGAGAAAGGCTCACGGGCCACACAGATCACCTGTGCTGAAATGCACATGACTCTCCCCCAAACCCTTGAGAATAAACGGCAAAGACATGATGGTCTTGGAAATTCAAAGACAGGAAAACATGGGACAATCTCTTCAGTGTCTAATGCTGAGTGGCGGAGGATCCAGTTTAGATATTTTTTTCATGCAGATTTAAACTCAGCAGGTCCAAAAGCACTCTGGAGTCTATGTCATCATTTTTTGTCCCAGTTTGGTTTGGTGGGAGAGATTATCCACAGTGCAGAAACAAAATAACTCTTTATTTAATATCTCAAACATAAAAATATCAGTTGGATTAGATTTTCATGAAAAAATTTCTAAAAAACTACAGGCTTTTAGTTTAAAATCTGGATATCACTGTTATTCTCACAATAATCTCAAGAAATTATGCTTTTCCTTGTAGTAGCTCAGAGTTTGGTTAAATCAAATATTCTCCTTATTTCACCTAACTGGCCTAGCACACAAAGTTATGCATTTTTAACTTAAACAGTTCAATTTGGTTTATAGCAATATTAACTTGGGTAGGAAATACCAACTAACAAAAACCCCAGAAATTATTATTTTACATATATGAGCTATCAAACCATGTTGTTCTTTAACCTTTGTTAGAATTTCAATGCATTTTTAAGTTCGATAAGAGAAAGAACCAATTAGCAAAGGCTGAGGCCACACTTAATTGCGTTGCCAACATAGTTAATCTTATGATTCACTGGCTGTGACTTTGATAATCTATCTTTGACTCTACAGAACATGATAACTCCAACCACGTCTGCAGTAAGCCCCACTTTCATACCTGGGGTGTTCATTTTTCATGCAGGCTAAACCTGATTATGACTGCAGGTCTAAAAGGTGACTGGAAGCTCATTAGGAGTAAGTAGCATGAGGGCACTCACCCAGGCGAGCATAATTAAAATACGATCCCAAAAATAAAATAATAAATCATGAAGGCTCAAGTGCATACAGCTCCTTGTATTATACTGAAAGACTTTCCACTCATTATTTTTAGACAATAACTGAAAAGCAAATTCTACCATCTTGGAAAACCCAATTCCACATGGATAAGGATAGGACAAGCTCACAAAGGGCAGACATGGAGCCACAGGCATTCGGCAGTCACTCCCACTGCCCCGTCATTTATAACCAATTCCTGCATCTGAAATACATAGGGGGTTTTCTGAGTGACTAAGGGTGACACTAGACACTAAACTGTGGGAGAAGGAGGGGGGCTGTCTCTATCCACTGTCAGCTCTCAAATCAAAATCTCCACTCCGAGAATCGCTTTCTGAAGGTCAACCTGGATGTCATATAGATACTTAAGACATCCAGTTTCCAGGACTCTGATTCTTGTTTAAACTGTGACAAAACATTCCTACACAAACATAATTAAGAAAACCTGGGTGGTTCTTTGGTGTTCTGAAGCCACTAAATTATTTTTACATCAATGATAAATTTCTCCCAATGGAAAATTTTTTCCTCTTTTACACAATTTGATTTCCCACAGTGAAAACATCCCGGCAGGACTGGAGGATTTATGTTGACACGCACTGTGATTGGCAGCCCTGTAATTGGGATAAGCTCCTTGGACCATGGTTTCTATGGCAACAGCCTAGCTGTCCGTTCTTACCTGATGTCTGGTCATCCACTGTATTGAGTTTAGTCTCGTCAGCTACTGTTAAAAGGTAAATGTAGAATGGTTAGCCCAGTTAGTCCCCGAAGCTCAACATGCTGCAACCATTCCCAGATTGTGTCAGTTAGGTGACAATTCTTAGGTAACACTTCATGCAGATAACACGCAAAATCAAGCCAACATTCCTCATCAAAACCAGGAGAGGGGCAGAAAGCAGTGTCTCCATGCACACGCAGTCATCTCCTCTCAGACACGTGTGTTATTTCTGGGTTAGCATGTTGGAATTAGCCAAGGCAAGGCATCGCCCGATTTTTCCTTTATGCATACGATAAATTAATTAATGCTTTTAGTTTTGAAGTACAAACAGCCACCAGAGAAAGGCGTAAGTTACAGGTGATCAACAAGGGCTTTTAAAATCATTGACTTATAGATATAATCGTTTTATTTTTTGGTGGATTTGTATATACACACAGGCCACTGGACTGGTGTTCAATCGAACACCTACTGACCTAATTTCCCCTACAGAAAATATTGTCAAATTATTACTGTGATTAAATGCATAATTATTAAAGCAACAGTCTTTTTTTAATATTAAATAAACCTTAAGAATAGCAATGAAAAGAAGATTATCATATGGTAACCAAATTCCAGACATGGATTGAGATAATGGTTTCTCTCCAATATTTTTTTCAAAATATCCCACAACCAACCAAATACAATTTCAATGAAATTGGTTTTAAGTTGCTGAAGTGTTAAAACATGTTTTTAAAATAAAGATACATGAATATAGCATAATATACACATGTGTTTGTTTCGTTTCTCACAAGAAAACATACATATTAACATATTGCGTGTTAACATACTGCATATGTAAACACGCCACTTAGGAGTAGTACGGTTATCTCAAACTCAGAGGAAAACTAATTTTCGCCAAATTGCCATATTTCACATTTATTTTCTCTATTGCTCAGAGTAAACAGACATGTGTTGGGAACCACAATTTTATCCTGAAAGCATCTAAATCTAATTTAGATAAAGATTCATGGAGATTGTACTCACTACCTAAATCCATGCTTTTTGATTTTCGCGTTTTAACGAAATCCAATTGACTGGCATCTGAAAATTGCTTTGTGCGTTTTTCTGACATACTCTGGCGTCCAAATCCTTCTCGTTGAAAAGCAAGAACTGGATCAACATCTGGACTCAGAGAGCTGGTGTGAAGACAAAGAGAAACATAAAAACATTAACTGAAAACAGAAGATGGCCATCTAGAATGCCCTCACATACCTGGGTCATGTGTGCACACACGTGTGTGCTCCTCAAAGACACTTCACAAAGACAGTAGCTGAACAGAAAGTGAAGGCAAAGCACAGGACTAACTGCTCACTGGAGCCACCCTTGCTCCACCTGGACTTCCTCTCTCTACTTTCTTCTCTTGAATTCTGTTTAGCAACACATCAGCATTTCTAGGTGATGATATGAAAGGAGCCTGATATTGCCCAGACCTTGGGTGAGCAGAATATTTAGGAGAATATTCTATGAAACATGATATATTGTATACACATCCTGGGAACGAGTGTCGACTCAACAGGATCTGTCCTGCACACGCTCCATCAACTCTTGTTGCACCAAGTGGAGCACTTTAGACCCTGAGCTCCAGGAAGGCACCAAGCTCAGTTTCCATCAAAAACGTTGGTTGAGATTAAAAAAAAAAAAAAATCGTTGCCATGAACACTGCCTGGAAAACCACATCTCTCACTGAAAGTGTTGCTGTTAAGGTTTCCTGTGTCAATCAGCGGGTAGAGAGAAGTCTATTCTACGAGTTCAACAAGGATAAATTCTAGTCCTCATATTGTCTTTATCTTATGTTTAAGAAAAAAAAAATTACAAACCATCCAGCAGCACGGTGCTGCATGAGGCTGAAGTTTGTCTAACATTTAGTCAAAGAAGAAGAAATAAATTCACCAAAGCTTCCCGAGAACAAAGGTGCTGGGCTGGGCACCCAGGTCAAAACAAATGAGTAAGAAACAAGCCCTGCACCCCATGAATTCCTAAGAAAACAAGAAAGCAGAAGCTGAGACAGACGCCGAGGATGCACAGATGAGAGGGAGCCGGGGGAGGTGTGACTAAGTGTAGGCGACATTTGATGGGGCGACAGCACCACAGCGGCTCAAGCTCGGGTGACAGGAAGCATATGGGCGCTGGCTGGTGGCAGGGTACGCTCTGCACAGCTCTCCAGGGAAAGTGGCTGCAGACAGCACGGAATCTCTATTTGTAAGAATCTGAGACAGAGCTAAGAAGCACCAGCAGGGCTGCGGGCACTATGCTTACTGCGACAATGGCCTCACCTGTGTGGCCAAGCGTGAGGAGGCCACGGCACAGCTGACCAACCCCTTGGAACTGACCCCAGCCTCCCACGTGTCTGATGGGAACAGCCCTCCACAGCCTACTGAGGATCACCACGCATGCATGTGAAAGGACAGAGCTGGAGGCTGAAACCCCACAGCAACCATCTGTCTGTGAAAGGTCGCTGGCTCTGGGCACCTAAGCCAGGAGTTAGGAAAAGGAGGGTGCCCAGGACAGGATCTGAAATGTCAGCACAGGTGTCTCCCCAGGCTTGCGATGAAGACGCAACACCTCACCCAGCTCAGAAGCTCCAGGGAGCAGCCCAGGACAAAGCGTGGAAGGCTCCGCCAACCACAGGCCACAAGCACAGTGAGGTATCCCTCAATGCAGACCACCTCAACGGATCCCAGTAACAACCACGGGGATGGGAACCTGCAGTCCCTGGGGACCACGGCAGGGACTCGGACAAGCCTCCTCTATCTTCCCCTCCACGGACGGAGCAGGGCCCCTCAGGTGAGGCAGGCCGGGCGCAGGGGCCTCAGAATTTCAGGCAACAATTTTTCAAGGGCACGTGCGTGCCAAGTCAACACGGCACAGTGACCCCTTCCCTTCCTTGAACTCTGACACCTGAGCACCTTGACTTCCTCAGCTTAGACCAGGGAAGCTGTGTCCACAGGCAGTCCAAGGATGACCTGTGTTTTCTGTTTGTGTCATACATGATGATACACTGTAACAAACGCTGTTTGCCTTCTGTGTCAGTCTGTGGTGTTTCATCTGCTACAACAGGAAGCAGGGTCGCGAGTGTATAAAGTCCCAGGGGCCCCATCACACGTGACACGTAGTACTTGGCGGCAGAGGGGCTGGCGCTGTGACATAGTGGGTTGAAAATGCCGCCTGTGATGCGGGCATCCCTTATGGGCACTGGATCCTGTCCAGGCTGATCCACTTCCGATCCAGCTCCCTGCTAGTGTGACTAGCAAAGCAGCAGAAGATGGCCCAAGGGTTTGGGTCAATGCCACCCACATGGGAAACCCAGATGAAGCTCCTGGCTTCGGCCTGGTCCAGCCCGGGCTACTGCAGCCGTTTGGGGAGTGAACCAGCAGATGGAATATGTCTCTATCTCTCCCTCTCTCTGTAATTCTGCCTTTCAAATAAATAAAATAAACCTTAAAAAAAAAAAAACCCTCAGAAAAGCAAACAAAAAAGAACTTCCAGAACACATATGCCCAAGCTAAGAAATGTTCTGAAAGTGATGTGAAAATTCACGTGGTGAGAACGGTGGTGGTGAGAACGGTGACCCCAGTTGGTGGAAATAAACTCTACACAGAGTATTTCCAATAAAAAGTAACCCTTTGTATCTCAGAAGTGGATCTGTCCTGCACACGCTCCATCAACTCTTGTTGCACCAAGTGGAGCACTTTAAGCCCTGAGCTCCAGGAAGGCACCAAGCTCAGGCACAGGTGCGTGTGAGACCCAGTTTCCATCAAAAATGTTGGTTGAGATTAAAAAAAAAAAAATCACTGCCATGAACACTGCCTGGAAAACCACATCTCTCACCAAAAGCATTGCTGTTACAGTTTCCTGTGTCAGTCAGTGGGTAGAGAGAAGTCTATGCTACCAGTCCCCACACGAGAAGCACACCCATCTCACATACCTGCCCTCCCACCACCGCACAGGGAGCTGGAGCCACACACCACTGAAAACGTCCAACAAGCCTGGGAGTTATTAAGTCTTAAAATAAGTAAATATTCCTAAATCATGACATAATTAATTCTTCCCTATCAATAAACCCATTAAACTAACTTCAGACACAATAAACAGTGCACAGGGCTATTTAATGAGTTAGACTGCAGGGCTGACAGACACTCTTCAAAAGAATGTAACCATATCCTGACCCCCAGCATTATTAAAATTCCAGTTACTAATTCTGTCTTATTGCTCTTTTGTTTTCATAACATTCTCATGGTGGATTAGGGAGATCTTGTCCAAGTGAACGGCCGCCACGCTGCGCTGTGATTCCCAACAGCTGCCGCTCCTGTCGGCACAACCCTCTGCCTCTCGGGTTCACTGCCAGAATCCCCGCACCACGCTCACACAGGTCCTCACCTTTCCACTAGGGCCCTGTGGGCAAACGAGCAGCACAACCAGTGGTTTCTGTATTTTCACCAGTGTCGTGTTTTATAAGGCCGCAAATGGACCCGCTCCTAGGACTACTTCCACCCACATTCTCATCCTGCTGACGGCTCCCTAAGACCCACACAGCCGGCACCAGGTCCCCACTGTCTCGGACAGCGGCCGCAGCAGGCAGTGCAGCAGCCTCCGTGGATCCCAGACCGGTGTTTACTTTGTAGAGTAGCCCTTGGATGTGCGGCCAAGAAACTCACGGCACGACACGCCAGGAGCACGCGGGCTGGAGGGCACTGCTCTCTTTCAACCCTGGGTTTGCAAAAAGAGAATTTAAAAAACTGGAGGCGAACTTTCCAAGCAGGTGAGATCATCCAAGAGAATGGGTGCAGAAATGCACAGCTGACTGGGCTGTCTCTGTGCTCAAAGGAGGAGGCTGGAAAGTGGTTCTCTTCGCTAAGATCACCCCTAGTTACTAACACCACTCCCCACCCTAGATACCTAATACTGAACAGTGACTGTAGTCACAGAAATGAGAGGTGGTGAGAGGACTACACACACATTTTAATGATCATTTTCCCAAGGTAGTCACAGAAGACCCCAGCGAAAGGGCAGCAAGGAATGCCATGGAATCCTGGACACGGTGAGCATCACTAAGGGGGCACCCCCAGCAAGGGTTTACTGATGTGCAAAATGACAACACAGCAAAGAAAGGTGTAGCCCATGTTCATGAGACACACCCTGGCCTAAGGACACCCAGCACTCCACTCTGTGTGGGAGAGAAAGGGAGAAAGGCAGCAGGAGTCTGCCCCCGTCAAGATGTCGGAAGCAAGCACAGGAGCATTTTAAACGGCATGGTCAGGGTGTGCCAAAAGGGGACCCTGAAAGTACTTCCTCCCACGGCCGGAACCCAAGGTTATCTGCTACCACCCAGTCAGAGACTGCTGAGAATTTCTTTACATAGTAGGAAAAATTTCTTCAGATTAGCAGTGATCCAAAGTCAACAGCGAACAGCAAAACTTGAAAACAAAGTGAGTAGGGCGTTTGGGTCAGGGGAAGATTTGTGTTGTTGTTTTGGCAAAACTCCTACCTATGACCAGGGAAAGAAAAAAAGAACGGAGCAGGGTGCAGAGTCGGGGTGCAGCCTTTCATTAGAAGACCGAAAATGGGGAGCATGAGAACCCAGCCACAGGACAGGACTATACAACACCGACCGGCCGGCTCCTGGTAAACAGGAGCTAGAACGGCACCGAGATGAAACAAAGCTTCCCACCCCGGGAGGAGCAGCTCACCAGTCGGCTGAATCACTGATGGCAGCCTTGGCCCACGTGGCCACCTCTGTGGTCACGAAGCCCATGTCGTCGTGGGAGCTGGACGAGGACTGGTCGGAGAGCTGCGGCGGGAGCACAGGCAGCCGGTCGTCTTCGATGATGACGCTGTCGTCGTGGGACATGTTCACAGTGGGGGACAGCTGGAATTTACCTGTCCAGGGAAAACAGTGCAGACGTCACACAGAGCGCTCGCCGATGTATTTCAACACTTGGCTACCTCGGAAAAAGCCTGAATGTTCCACGTCTACTTGACCTGGTGGAACACGACAGAATTCAACACATTAAAAATAAAGTGTGCGTTGGTGGGGGAGGGATTCCCAAGATGGCAGAAGAGCAACAGGATGGTCTGATTTAGGCTGGCAGAAATTAATATAAGAAAGTGGAGAAAGTCCACAAGCAGGGTAAGGTGGTAGGGCAACTGCAGTGGGAGACCCTGAAAAAGCAGCAACAATGGCCAGACCTGCATGGAAAGTCAGACACACAGGAAGGTGCAAGACCCAGCAGCTTGGATGGGGAAGAAGCATCAGCCCTGGCAAACCAGATGAGACAGGACTGCACAGGCCTGTGTCCCTGGGGATACAGCCAGAGAGACAGCACAGAGAACTGCACCTCCCTGGTCCAGCCCAGTGGGGCCACTGCTCACCTGGTGGGGGAGGGGGCGGGAAGCAGCGTGTCTCTCTCCCCCTCTCCCTGCTAGAACAGCAACCCACAGCCAGTGATGGGAGGGCTGGTGCTGTTCTTGAACACTGTCAGGTAGCGGCCGCCCCAGCTTATGTGTGCACACCCAGCAATTATTGGGCTCAGCCTCCACCCAGTAGGCAGGGGCAGCCACAGCAGCTCCAGAGCAACCAATGGAGATGTCTCCACCAGGCCAGCCACGCCCACCTGGCAACAGGAGGGGAAGGGGAGCCATCCCTAGGGAAGGGACGTGCCGCCTAAAGGACTCGCTTAGCACCAGCACAAAACCTGGACACAGCCTCCACACACCTCTTGGTACTCACTGAAGGTGCAGACATTCCACAAAGCCAGAGAGGCATAGCTCAAAGATAAAAGCCATCAAAAGAAAAAGAAAACTTCTACAAATGTCTAAAAGTAAATGCAGAAATTCAAGAAACAATAATAAGGAAGACACAATGAGGCCCCCAAAGGAACACAACAACACTTCAACATTAGCATGTGAAAATGAAGAGATTGAGGATATGCTGAAATGAAATTCAAAAAATTAATCCTGGGATTACTCAAAAGCATTCAGAAGCAAATCCATGAACAAAAGAAAATCATATGATAATGAAAATTTTTCCCATGAACTTAAGATTTTAAAGAGAAATGAAAAGGAAATGCTAGAAATGAAGAAGTCAATAGATCAAATAAAAAACACAGTGGAAAGCCTTAACAACAGAGTTGGTGAAGCAGAAGACAGAATAGCCAAGCTAAAAGACAAATCTCTGGAAATTTTACAGTCAGACCAAAAACAAGAAGAAATTGGCAAACTTAAAAACAGTACTGGAGATAGATGAGATACTAAGGAGTGGACAGAGAGAAGAGAATAGAAAGCCTATTTAGGAAAATAATTACAGAAAACTTCCCTAATTTGGAGAAAGAAAGGAATGTCCAAGTACAGAAAGCATATAGAACTCCTCACAGCTATGGCCAGGAAAGATCTTCACAACACATTGCATTCAAACTTTCCACAGAAAAGCCTAAGGAAAGAAGATTCCAAAATGTGCATGGGAGAAACGCCAGATTACTTTCAGAGGCTCTCCAATTAGACTCACAGCTGACTAGCTGACTTCTTATCAGAAACCCTACAAGACAGAAGACAATGGGTAGTCCAAATCTTAAAAAAAAAAAAAAAGAGTACTCTACCATACGAAGCTCTGATTTATGAACAAAGGTGAAATAAAGACTTTCCATTACAAACATAAATTCAAAGAACATGTCACCACACGTCCAGCCTTACAAAAGATGCTAAGGATGTGCTACACACAGAAAAACAAAAAAAAGCCATCATCATGAAAGAATGGGAAGACAGAAAATCCCCCAGTAAAAGTACAAAATAAATCCAAAGTAAATGATAGGAATATTCATGGAAAAATGGTGGGCAAAGTAGTTACTTATAAGTCACCTTGATCGCTTCTCGGCCTTTTGGCTAAAATCAAGTGTGTAAGTCACCTTGAATGTAAATGGCTTCAACTCTCCAGTTAGAAGACACAGACTGGCTGAATGGGTTAAAAAACAAGATCCATCTATTTGCTGCCTACAAGAAACACACCTCACCAACAAGGATGCATGCAGACTGAAAATGAAAGGATGGAAAAATATATTGCATGCAAATGGGGAAAAAGGGGTGGCAGGTGTGGCCATCCTAATATCAGACAAAATAGACTTTAACACAAACATTGATAAAGGAGACAAAGAAGGATACTATGTAATGATTAAGGGATCAATACAACAGGAAGATCTGACTATAATAAATGTATATGCAGCCAATCATAGGGCATCTGGTTATTAAAAAGAACTGTTAACAGATCTGAAAGGAGACATAGGCTCCAATACAATAGTAATTGGGGACCTCAACACCCCACTTTCATCAATGGATAGATTAACCAGAGAGAAAGTCAACCAAGAAACAACAGAATTAATACTATGGACCAAATGGACCAAACAGATATCTACAGAATTTTTCACCCCACAGTGACAGAATACACATTCTTCTCAGCAGTACACAGAACGTTCTCCAAGATAGACCACATACTAGGCCATAAGCAAGTCTCAGCAAATACGAAAAAATGAAAATCCTACCATGCACCTTCTCTGATCACAATGGATTGAAGCACAAAACTAACAACTCAAGAGTCCCCAGAACATAGGAATGAACAACATGCTCCCGAATGAATAGTGGGTTATAAAAGAAATCCAAAATCTTCTGGAAACAAAGGAAGATGACCGTACCTCATATCAAAACTTATGGCATGCAGCAAAAGCAGTGTTAATAGGGAAGTTTACAGCAATTAGTTCTTACATCAAAAAAATAGAAAGGCAGCAAATAAATGAGCAGTCAATGCAACTCAAGAACCTAGAAAAGCAACAACAAACCAAACCCCAAATTTGTAAGAGGAAAGAAATAATTAAAATTAAGGAATAAACAAAATTGAAAGGAAAAAAATACAGAAGATCAATGAAAAGAGCTGTTTTTTTTTTAAATAAACAGATAACCACAGAAATAAAAAGAATCATCAGGAATTACTACAAAGAGCTGTACACAACAAATCAGGAAACATAGGAAAAATAGATTCCTAGACACATACAACCTACCTAAATTAAGCCATGAAGACACAGAAAACCTAATCAGACCCATAACCAAGATGGAGACTGAATCAGTATCAAAGACCCTCCAAACAAAGAAAAGCCCAGGTCCCAACGGCTTCACTGATTAATTCTACCAGACATTTAAAGAAGAAATAATTCCAATTTTTCTCAACCTATTCAAAACAACTGAAAGAGAGGGAATCCTCCCAAACCCCTTCTAGGATGCCTGCATCACCTTAATTCCTAAGCCAGAAAAAGATATGACAGAGGGCCAGTGCTGTGGTGTAGTGGGTAAAGGGACCACCTGCAGTGCTGGCATCCCATAAGAGCACCAGGTGAGTTCTGGCTGCTCCACTTCTGACCCAGCTCTCTGCTATGGCCTGGGAATAGCAGCAGAAGATGGCCCAAGTGCTTGGGCCCCTGAACCTACATGGGAGGTCCAGAAGAAGCTCCTAGCTCCTGGCTTTGGACCAGCCCAGTTCCAGCCTTTAAGGCCATTTGAGAAGTGAACCAGTTGATGGAAGACCTCTCTTGCTATGCCTCTGATTCTCTGTAACTCTGCCATTCAAATGAACAAATAAATCTTAAAAAAAAAAAATACAACAAAGAAGGAGAACTATAGACCATATCCCTGATGAACTCAAATGCAAAAATCCTCAACAAAATACTAACCAACCAAATCCAATGTGTCAGAAAGATCAGTCACCTGGAGTAAGTGGGATTTATCCCTGGTATGCAGAGATGGTTCAACATCTGAAAATCAATAAATGTGATAAACCACATTAACAAACTGAACGCCAAAAACCATCCGATTCTCTAAATAGATGCAGAGAAAGCAATTGACAAAATTCAACACCCTTCTATGATTAAAATCTTAAGTAAACTGGGTACAGAGGGAACATTCCTCGATATAATCAAGACAATTTAGAACAGAGTTATAGCCAGCTTCCTACTGAATGTGGAAAAATTAGAGGCATCCCCATTAGGATCTGGAACCAGACAAGGATGCCCACTTTCACCACTGCTATTCAGTACAGTCCTGGAAGTTTTAGCCAGAGCCATTAAGCAAGAGGATACAAAGGGATACAAACAGGGAAGGAGGAAGTCCAACTATCCCTATTTGCTGATGACATGATTCTATTTATAGGGTACCCAAAAGATTCCACAAGAGACTATCGGAACTCATAAAAGAGTTTGGTAAAGTAGCAAGATATAAAATCAACAAACAAAAATCAATAGCCTTTGTATACACAGAAATGCCATAGCTGAGAAAGAACTTCTAAGATCAATCTCATTCACAGTAGCTACAAAAAAAAATCAAATACCTTGGAATAAATTTAACCAAGGATGTCAAAGATCTCTATGATGAGAATTACAAAGCATTTAAGAAAGAAATACAAGATACAAAAAGAATGGAAAAATCTTCCATGTTCATAGATTGGAATTATCAGTATCTTCAAAATGTCTATTCTACTGAAAGCAATTTAATGATTCAATGTGATACCAATCAAAATATCAAAGACATTCTTCTCAGATCTAGAAAAAAATGCTAAAATTCCTATGGAAACACAGAGACCCCGAATAGCTAAAGCAAACTTATATAACAAAAACAAAGCTGGGGGCAACACAATACCAGACCTCAAGACACACTAAAGGGGAGTTATAATCAAAACAGCCTGGTACTGGCACAAAGACAGACATGTAGACCAATGGATAAGAATAGAAACTTCAGAATCCATGCATCTACAACCAACCTATCTTTGACAGAGGAGCAAAAATCGATCCCTGGAGCAAGGACAAAAACAACTGGTGCTGGGAAAACTGGATCTCCACATGCAGAAG